CTAAGGAAAATACAAATATACTATAAATTCACATGCATCCTACTGATCTTAAGTGAGATTTAGAAACAAACCCGCACATCTGCTGATGGAGTACGAGCACGCTTGTTCAATCCAAGCATCTTTTTTCTTTCCTCGGATCTTTGAGCCATACTGTCTTGGGTTCTTGGAACCTGGTTTCTGACCTTATCAAAGTTTGCTGCGTCCATTCTCTCGCCAGGTGGTATATCATTTCGCCTTCGTTTCTTTGAAGTTAATATCTCCGCATATTTGTCCAATTTGAATATGGATTCACTTAATTTCTTTGCTCGATCCCTACAAGGAACAAACGTTTTAGCACTAAGCAATAAATCCTCGTTCTAGTAGACAATGGACTGTATTTATGATAGAGGAGCGCTAGTTCAACTCCTAAACCAAATTTTATGCACCTATGATTAGTCAGTGGTCACAATAGCTATATGTTTTACTACCATCACAATGTAAAAAGATCAGTCACAACTTATGGAGAGAAACAACAAAAATCCATACCCGGCCTCTCGGGAAGCATCTTGCACACTTTCTTTGAAATGCTTGAGCTCCTCTGTTGCTACAGGAGGAGAAGGTTTGGGATGGGACATCCCAAAAGAATTCTCTTCCGATGAAGCCCTACTAGGGACGCCGAGAACCCTTCTAAGCTCTCCTGAGCGAGTATAGTTTTGATTGCCTAATCTAATCGGTTCCAATATTAAGACTTGAGGCAAATTTGGAGCATCAGATGACAATCCTATAGTACCTCTACTCAAACTGTTACCCGAACCTAGCATTGTGCCTTTATCTACTTGCTTCACTCTAAAAACCACTCAATCCTGCAACCAGAAAACCCATAATAAGCAATTAGAAAACAAATGATTCAGCACTATCACACTCTTATGCAATCATAAAGCAACACTAAAGCAGGTTACTTCTTACTCTTAGTGGCGAAATCAATTCATGAAACACCGAAAAAACGTAGATAATTTTGGAAACAACAAAATGTGAATGAAAGGGGCAGACTCCAAGATCCCTAAATCTCAATAATTGATGAAAAAAATCTCACCTTTTGCATCTAATCCCAAGCCATGAATCAACAACATATAACCCGAAAACCCTAAAATTCCACCAACGTCGCCGTCGAATCCCGGCGAGAAATTGGAAAACCCTAGAATACCGGAGGAGTAGAAACCTAAATAACGGAGTTGAGCTATGAAGCTTGGAGAGAATCCAAGCGTAATTCGGACAAAGACCGAAGCTTTGAATCTCTCTCTCTCTCGACCGGAATTTTCAACGAGGTCAAGCTTTTGTGGTTAGATCAGAGAAACAAAGAAAGAGAAACAAATCCCTTTTAGTCGGGCTTCTTCTGTTTGGGCGAATTTCCTACGTCCATTAAAACATATATATTTACAGATTCCGTGTGCTTATTATGATGCAGATTACGTCATCAATTCCACGGGTTTGACCGGTGTGGCATTTCGGTTCGGTTTAAATTACCTTCTTCTCTGTATGGTTTGTGATATTTTATCGAAATTGTAAAAACTGAAAATTTCTTAGATTCAGTTCAGTTTTGTTTTCTCGGAGAGGATTCTGTTCACTTGTAGTTTATTTCGACAACATTTTCGGTTTAGTTTGATTTAGTTTTGGGTTAACATTTTGATACAAAATCTAACGAAAAATCTAAATCTATATTTTGTTTAAGCTACTATCCGCCGAAGATCAAAATCTAAAAATAATTACAATCGGATTGGTTTTGATGTATCTCGCAAAAGCTTCGTAAGATAGATGTATATGACATCTCACACAATTTGATACTTATTTGGTGAGATACAATTAGTAGAATCAAGTGGATGATCGCCTACTAATTTTGAGAGTGAATATTCAGTATTACTATTTCAACTCTACTTGAAAATGATGTTTTATTAATGGATAGAAATGATTTTTTTATTAATGGATGGTTCGAGACACGGAATGAGATCATGGACTAAAACTTCTAGTTAACCAATGACTATACTTTTTTCTTTTTCTTTCTCCACAGGTGGTTATTTGTTAGTTGGAGCCAAATGACAATCTCTGGAATATCGTTATTTCAATGAGTAGAATCACACCTTAAGAGTTTGCATAAATACGACTTTCAAGTGATTCTCATTTTAGTTAACAACTAATAATAATAACAATTTTTCTTATTCATCAAATAAATCCCTTAAATAAGCCAATATGTTAATCGGATCATTAGCATAATAAGTGCAATACGTTAAGTCAATCTTGTGTAGATAATAATCACTCATACTAGAAGCGCCTTTATGATGTCTTCACATTTCTGCTCCTCCGCGTTTATAAGATGTCCATAACCTACAACCTCGTGGTACTTAATCCATGGAAGCTTCTTTGATATATATTGATTAATTTCGCGCGGAATAATTCTGTCTTCAACCCCTTGCCAAATGTGGACCGTTCCTTCGCCGTTTGGAAACGGATTTTCCAGTTCAGTCGGGTCGAATTCCCATGTCGCAAATCCAGCTATCATGTCCCGGTGAAGAGATTCGTGGTCTCCTTGTTGCCGGACTTTTTCCTGAGGTCAGAACCAACATTCAAATAAAACACAGTGTCAAACTGTAAAAACTCTTTGAAGTATAATAAGCCAACGGGTTGTAATTCTACTATACCATATATTTCCGGTTTGGCCAATAAATATTTTCTTGTGTTATAATTTGGTTCATGAACTTTTATCACATTTATAATTTGGCCCATGAACGTATTCCAAATTTCTATTTGACCCTCATTAATTAGTACTAACTACTAACTACTAAGACGGTCACACACATGCACCTAACCTTAATTTCAATTATAGCTCTTTCATATATATATGATTAAAAAGTGCATTAACAAAAAAAAGTTATAGCTTTTTACCATGGCAGGGTTTGGATTCTCCAATTGCTTCTTTATAATGACCAAATCTCTGTCGCTACATAACGCAACGTTCCCAGAGACCATACTCTTCGACGGAAACAATTTTTGGGTCAACCACCAATACAACAACCACGGAACATAATGAGCCACTCTAAAAGTCCACTGGTCTTCCTTTGGCATTAGCTCTAGCGCTTTACTCAACATGTCTTGAGGCACTTTAGTCCACCAATAACTCACAAATGGAACCACTAAGGCTGCTCCAGCTAGTCTTTATGAAACCAAATTGGAAAAGTAATTAAAGACATCAATTATAATTAATATGAGACAGGAAAAAACTTGTAAAATCAGAACATAATCTCGAATCTTTTTATTACCTATGGGGAATGTATTTGAGGCAACTGTAAATTGAGTAACCACCGAGTGATACACCAAGAACGTAGAATTTTGGTCCGATCTTGAGTTTATCAGCTAGTTCTTGAATGTCGTATGCTTGGCTCTTGACTGTCCGTGATGGGTGTGGATCACTTTCTCCATATCCTGCTCTATCGAAGAACAAAAAGTATATCCCAAGTTCCTCAATAAGATCCTGCCCAAAAAAAGGAAAATACATTAAAAAAAAATTGCTCATAATAATTGTGTTTGCGTTTGGGTTTACATGTGAAATAGCTTTTTTTTTTTTTTAAATCACATTTTAATAAGATAAAAGAAGAAAAAAAAACAGTTTTGCAAAGCGAATGCAAACGGAGAATTTTCTTTCATTCTGCATTCGTCTTGTTTCCATGTAAACTCTTTTTTAAGTTTACAATTAAAAAGTATTGAAAATTCAATTTTTTTGGGGTAAAATAACCTCAAATGAAATTTCTACTCATCACAAAACGGGTTTGTTTAAGATAACAAAGAAAATGAAATCTGTAGAGACAAAAAGAAAACATCGTATCATGCACATGTAAAGAGAAACCTAAATACTAATAAAATATAGTCATAAAATGGCACATGTGACATGTGGGGAGAGATAGGGGTGGAACGGATCGAGATATCCTGCAATTTCAAAGTATCCGGATCCGGATCCGAAATTGTCGGATCCGTGAAAAAAACTATTCGGATCCGGAATCGGGACCTCCTGGATATCCGGCCAAAAAACGGATATCCGGATCTGGATCCGAAATTAATATTAAAAATAATTAAAATAATTAATAAATAAATAAAAATATATTTTTTAAAATTATTAATTAATATTTTAAATGATATTTTTCATTATTAATATAATTTATTATAAAAAACAAAAATCAATTTTTATATATATTTATTTATATAAAATTAGCTTAATAGATATATAATATATATGTTTTTCATATATTTAATGCGTCCGGATCCGGATTTTTACGGTCTAGATTATATTATCATTATCCGGATCCGGACTTTCCGGATATCTTACTTTTCGGAGTGATTCCGAACGGATAATGGATCGGTCTCGGATCCGGATAATAATTCCACTAGGGAAGAGAGTC